TTTGGGGGTTGTCTCATCATTGCCCCTCTATATCCCAGATGTTTAACTGATTAACTAATTCTATACTCCGATTAAAAAGTGCTCTTTTAAGTTTTTAGGACAGTGTATTATGTGTCTGTCTGTGTTGTATACAGTATTTGTAGCTCTTGAAAATGAGACACTGAGCTCAATGTGACGGTCTGTTTAAATAAAGGATTTAAAAATAAACCAACCAACCAAAAAAAAAAAGGAAATATCATGATGTTTATTTCAAATTAATTACTCTTAAGAAACCAAATAATCAACTTTCCAAGGGAGGCTCAAAGCCACAACTGGATTTATCTAAGATTCAATATGAAACCTAACCCTTTCATTTAAGACAGAATTTTGTTGTAATGAAATTAACATACAGAAGTTAAAAGTGCAAAAGATAAGCTAACGATAAGCGAATTTATATATCTAGAAAAATAAATGTTAACATAAATAAATGTTAAATGCCAGAAGTGATGCCAGAAGACATTTTTAAACAGACTTCTTTCCTGCGAAAAACACTTTTGACCTATGGTTCTATTTATTTCTTTTTTTAGAAGCCATAAAATTATTTTTAGAGTTAGAAAAGTTTTGTATCTAATTTGTGGATACAAAACTTTAAAGGAAATATCACGAGGTTGGTTACAAAGCACTCCTGTCAGGTACAATGAATTTGAATGTTCTCCGTGAAGTCCCACGCTGTGACAGGATTCATAAATCTGCAGGTTTCCCCACAGCTGTGATTTTTTTTAAATCTCGTGGTCGCTGCGGTGACCTGGGATAAAGGTGCCCGAGCGGATGCCTGCTCAGAAAACGCAGGAGACACGTCAACAAATCTTCCCCCAAAAACATAAGTCAAGGAGAGTGGACGCCCTGTTGGAGTCTGTGACACATTCACGCATCAGGTCCGGACAGACATGCAAACATCGCATTCTGTGTTCGGAAGTCGATTCCGCGCAGGCCTGGTTCGTCTGAAAGGAGCCCACAGTTTGTTTTAAAGAAGAGGATAGCCGCTGACAGCATGGACGAAGTGGATTATCTGCAGCAGTACGCCGCTGACAGCCTGCCGTTTGAAGAAAAACCAGAGATCAAACCGCTCGGACTCCATCAGCTGCAGGATGCTGATATTAACCGAGCCGATGGTGAGAATAATCTCAGATTTTATTTGGAGAAAACCGCTAACTAGCTGCTAGCTCGCCGTAGGGCTGGATAAATTTGGTTTTAATCTAAGATGTTTGATATGAAGACACAATCAGGTACTTAACGGGTCTTTAAAATGATTTAAAAACAGCCTGAGATGGATAGCAACCGATATTACACCCTGTCGTTTATTTATTGAACGAAAAACTGAACCCAAATGAAGAAACAGTATGTGGACAACTAAATGCGCCCCATGATTCCGCCGCTGCAAAACCACCTTTAGCAGAAATAACTTGAAGTCGCTGTTGTGTGACTTCGGAGGAATTTTTGGCCCACTCTCCTTCAGAGCGTTGCTTCAGCTCATTGAGGTTTGCGGCATTCATGTCTGCACAGCTCTCTCTTAAGGTCCCCCCGCAGCATTTCAGTCAGTCTCAAGTCTGGACTTTGATTGGGCCATTGCAACATGTCCATTCTTCCCTTTTTCAGCCTTTCTGTTGCAGATTTTCTGCTGTGCTTGGCATCGTTGTCCTGTTGCATGACCCAGTTTACACCAAGCTTTAGCTGTCAGACAGATGGCCTCACATTTGACTCCTGGCTGCAGCCTACTAAGCAGTAAGGATGTGCCCAGTTTTTCATGCATTGCGTCTGTGCATGCATAAAGAGTCTGCAGTGTGGGGTGTTTAATACCAAGAACATTAAATTAGCCAAATAATTATAGTTGGTTCTCACAACAAGAGAAAGTGATAACAGTGTCAAACCTGAATGTAATACATTTACATGAGCAACAGGCTCAAAGTATCACATCTGTGATGTGCAGCTGTTGCATGAGAAATAAGTTTTTTGCCATGTTTTGCTCTGTTGACAGTGCTGGGGTGGCCTATACACAGGTGTGTGGTGTCGATGCATCGTTACAGGGACCCCAAATATCAATATTTTATGAAATTAATTAAAATACTTGTTAAACATGCATTAAATTGGCTCAACTGAAAAACCATCCAACACTGGACCCTTAACTTGACAGATCTACCTCATACTTCAGGGTAAACTAATCGTTCAGTCACATGAGTAAAAATTGGACAGCAACCTCCTTACATCTACAAAAATAGTGATTGTGTTTTGTATTTTTCACATTCTGCATATTCTGGTTGCCCAGAGCTTGAGGTTGTTGCACTCATGACCACTTTTGGTTCCAAGGTCATGGGTAGTCCGATAGGAGGAAACCTTTCTGCAAACAGTTGCAGTCTGACTTGGACTTGAGTCCACAGACGTGTGATTCTTGACAATTTATTACATGCAATTGCATATAATTGCCAACCTGACTCCATTTAGCTGCAGACTAATTAATAATTGAAGCGAGATAAACTTTATCTTATTAGATAAAACGGATATTGACGAAGTTTAACTTTGGCGACATAATTTGCAGTTAAAAAAGGCGATGAATTGAAATATGTTATTGCAGTACTCGGCATATCGCAAAATATAAAAAATTCAAATATTGTTTTATTGTGAAAATACAGCATTGTGGAGTGTCTGCTGGTGATTGCCACATCTACTTATTTCTGTTAATATTTTGATATTCTTTCTATATACCGACCACGTGTTCCTCTTGCATCTCTGACTGACATGACTATGGTTTTAGGTCTTCTCAAGCCGGCTAACATACAGAAATCCAGGTTATGCAGAACTTGTTTTATAATGCGCCTGACTATATTTACAGCTTAAACATATCAGGGCATAATAAAAACCTGTGTGCTCCTTAGCAGGTGTTCAGACTATGTCTGCCATGAACAGCAACACGTGACGTAGTCCACAGTTTCAGAAACTTAGCCTACATGTAGAAGCACTATGTGGAAAAACTGCCTCCTCAGCAGTTGCGACGTAGCATCCAGGAGTCAAACGTGAGGTCACCTGTCTAACAGCTGACGTTTGGCCTAAACTGGGTTATATAACAGGACAGTGATTCCAAGCACAGCAGCAAATCTGCAACAGACTGGCTGGAAAAGGGGGCAGGAAGGTGTTGCAATGGCCTAGTTGAAGTCCAGGCTTCAGCTTGATTGAAATGATGTAGTGGGACCTTAAGAGAGCTGTGCACAAGTGAATTCCCGCAAACCTCAATGATCTGAAGCAACACAGTAAAGAGGAGTGGGCGAGAATTCCTCCACAACAGTGTGAGCCTGATAAAGTCATACAGAACATGATTACTGAAAGTTAGCGCTGCCATACATGCTTCTACGAGCACAGGCTTTTATCGGGTTGTTAAACCAACACAGGGTTTGGCAAACCAGCCACGAACATGTTCACATAATGGAGCCTTTGTGTGCCGTGCATGACAAAACACAGACATGTCTACAGCAGAGCAGCGCATTTCACAAAGAGAAAACTAACATTAGAAAATGTGAGAGGTTGAACACGTAATACATCTCACAGCATTAAAAAGCACTGTTCATAGTGAGTACACGTTAGTGTGCTGTGGGTTTGTAAGATCTTTAAAGTTATATTCGGACTGTTTAACGCCTTTATTCTGAAGGAATGTGTCAAATACGAACCTTCTTGCTTCCATAGGAGGCCATAAGTCAAATATGAGCCCATTTGTGTGATGGCTTAAAGCTTGGCTGAAAC